ACACCGTGGTGTCATCCACATATTTCCATTACTGTGCATTTGTATCGAGGTTGTAAATCATTAGGACGAACAACCACAGGCCTAGTTTGGTACCCTGTGGTACGCTGGCAGGGACTGGGCCCCATTCAGAAAAACAATCTGATGCAAATTTAATCCGCTGGGATCTGTCCAATAAAAAAAATCTATTATCCAGTTGATAATACTGGCTAGTAATTTAAACCGGTTATGCAACTTTCTAACGTGTATACTATGATCTATCAAATCAAACGCTTTACTGTAGTCTAATAATGAAGTTCTTACAGTCTCCATTTCCATCCATACCCAAGGACCAGCTGTGCAGCATACTAATTAGGGCCATTGTAGTTGAGGAATTTGGAATGGCTCTGTACTGGTTGTCATCAAGGATGTTCATGACTACCAGTTTCACGAAACCATCCACGTCAAACTCTTCCGCCACTTTAGAAATACAGGGGGTCTGGGATATTGGTCTCAATTCCTTTTGGATGTCGACCACTGGTTTCTTTTTGGGAAGGGTAGTCACATCAGCCATTTTCCAGAAGGTAGGAAGATGCTGTTCAGTGTAGGAGGCAGTCAGGATTTCCATGATGGGATAGGCCATGAGGCCACAGTATCCTTTCAGCAGTCAGCTGGATGTTCTGTCCAGTTCGCGGGCCTTCCTTGGATTAAGGACATCCAGTGTTCTTTGCATGGGCTGTTCGCTCACCCTTAAGATCTCAGGTGAGTCTGACTCGAGAGGAACCTGTTCAAGAGGAGCTGGTAGTTTACACTCCTCAAGTGGTTTAAGGAGAGCGGCATTGATGGTATTTGCTTGCTCTTTGAAAGGCAATACTGAGAATCCTTTGATGTTAATCTGGCTGTTGTTTCATCCCACCATCTTTTTGGGTTTTCTCCTTTTAGGTGCTGGATCTTTGACTCATAGTATTTCCCTCTGCAGATTTTTCTCTGTCAGTTGACAAGGTTACAAAAGTATTTAAATTGAGCTGAGTCAGGGCCAGATGCACAGAACACCTTTTTTCTCTTCATAATAAGAGATTTCAAACTCTTGAATTTGGCCGTGCAGATCTTGACTGGTTTGGCAGGCATGATGGTATCAAGGTCTGAATGTATGACATCTTTGAAGACTTGCCATTTCTCTTCACAGCTCACCAGAGGAGTGAACAACAGAGGCCAGTTTATATGTGTCAGATATCTACCCAATGCCGCCTTGATGCTTGTTCTGAAGTCATGCCTCATGGAAATTTTTTTGTTGTTGATGTTGCGCTTTCCTGGTTCAGTTGAGATGTGTCTCTTGTCTCAGCCACCCAGTTGGCAACGTAGGTCTTGAATCTATGAGTCATTATTGATGTACTGCAGTGTGATGCAGAAGAATGAGGTAGAAATGTCCAAATCAGTCTCCTTTAATATTAAACCATGAACATGTACTGTAATTATGGCTGCCTGTAGTTCAAGTCTTGGCATGGAGGCTTACTGAAGGGGGGCTGTACAACTCTTAACCATGATGAAGGAACATTGCACAGTTCCGTCCTCTGCTTGCTTTCTCAATTAAGAGACAGTTCCATGACCAATTTCAGATGCATCACTGAAGTGGTGTAGCTGAAACAATGCATTGGTGGGAAAGCTGCCATGAAAATAACGGCGAGGGATTTTAACGTGGTTAAGTAGCACCAATTCTTCTTTCCATTTCTTCCAGTCTTTCATCATTCTTCTAATAACCTTTCATCCCAATGTAGCTTAAACTGCTAAGTCTTCTGCATGACTCTTTTAGTTGGTAGCAGCACTGGCCCAATCATCTCTAGCGGATCAAACGTGGAGCTTATTGTCCATAAACATCCTCTTCTTGTGTCGTTATTCATCTGCTTTGACTACAGGGCTACTTTAACTCCAAACGTGTCTGTTTTGGTGTCCCACTGCAACCTTAGTGCTCTCTCAATTGGAAGCTTATCCAAATCAAGACTCTTGACAGATCTTTCTTCTGCTGTAATAGCAGACAATACCTCTTTCATGTTGGAAACAAATTTTGTCAGGTGAAGGTTCCCTTTCCGTAACAACTGTATTAGCTGTAGTGATGCCTTGATTGCTCATTCTGTAGTAGGAACTGAAAATAAGCAATCATCCACGTATAAATTTTTGGACACAACTAAGCACACGTCATTTCCGAACTCAGGTCTATGGTCAGTGGCTGTCCTCTTCAGAGCGTAAGCAGTAATACAGGGAGAATCTGCATTTACAAACAAATGCACAGTCATCTTGTGATCACTTGCCAGCTCTTCAATACTTTCACTCCACCATAGGCATCTGTCCTCCTTTGCACAAGCTACTCTCAAACAGCACTCGAATGAGTGAGTTATTCAGCTGGGAACCTTGTAACAGTTCCTTGTTAAGTGAGGTTCCACCATGTTCTGCAGCTACATCATACATCACTTGGACCAAGCCTTTTTTGGATTGACTACACCATGGTGGGGAAAAGACCATGTACGTTCACAGGCAGAAGCTCATTCATCTTTAGACAACTTTACAGTGTATCCCTTGGCAATGTAGTCATCTATCATTGCTTTGTATTGTGCAGGAAACTCTGGGTCATGCTCAAACCATTTCTTTAATTGTTTCAATCTCTTCTCTGCTATGGACCAGTTGTTTGGCAGCTGGGAACTATTGGTTTGCCACAAACATTCAAATTTGCCACTTTACTGGTTATGAATAATAAATGATGTCCAGGCATTCTGTGTGATGTAGCTAGCACAAATCTGTCATGATTCCTTTTGCCATAGCCTGTCAGGTAGGACTGTGGTAATGTGAGGTTCTTTCCTCTGTGAAAGTTAGCATTGCTGACAGAACTGGCATGACTTGACCTTTGCCTTAATCTCTTTGGAAATACCCTGCCACCACACAGACCGGTTAGCATGTTCACTGCACTTTGTTACGGGTTGTTGGCTTGTGTGAATGCGTTTCAGTATATCTGCTGTCATGACAACAGTTATCACTAGGCGATCATCATACGTTAACAGGCCACTGCTTATTGACAAATGTCCACATGGAGTGGAACTTCTTGCACATGTGTTGGCCACCCTTGTGATGTAACTGCAACCACCTTTTGGAGCTGGGCATCCTTTGCACCAGCCTCTTTAATCCACTCCAGTTGGTTATCGGTGGCTGGCCTTGAAGATTCAACTAAGTCTGAATGCTTGAACATCTTCCACTGTATCAGGTTCCTTGAGACTTGAGATGGCTTCTTGACAGAGTATCGGCCACTACCATCTGCTTGCTAGGTATGTGTTCTGCAAGAGAAATATTGCCCATAGAATTTCATCAGATTACAAAAAAACTAAGGGCAGGGGAAGAAAAGGGTTGGATAATTGGGTCCGAAAGTTTCATGTTATGGAGGGTCAAACAAAACCTGTTCATGAACTCTACTAAGAAATTGAAAACATAAAAAATGAGCTTCAAGATTGAATAAAGGCCTATGAGAATTTAGAGTTGGAGAAGGAAAGAATCTATAAGGAAAGGGTGCTGGCAGTGAACCCAAGGAAAAATGAGAGCTAAGTTTTGCAGAAAACAAACAGAGAGTCTAGTCATTGGAAAATTCAGTGGGAATTAGTTTATACCAGGGAAAACCTCTTTCAACTGAACTGTGGTTCACAACATCACAAGTAAACCTAACTGTCAAGATTCAGCCACTCAAGCAGAAGGAGAAGGAAGTATAGCACCTTGATTTCCCTTTTTGTCAGTCTGAATGGCAAAAAAGAAGGGTATGAGAAAGCCAGAGTTACCCCATACATGCAGATCATGGTTACACTCATCCCCAAGTTCTTTGAGCCCCACAACTCAGTCAAAATATTTACAGGGCAAGGGGTTAAAAAGAACAATGATGTAGGGCGTGTAATAACTCTGAGAAAGTCCAACAAGTGGGATTTTGCAGGAGATATTCTACGACAAGAGCAACATCAGTGGGAACTTAAAGAACACTAGTGGGAAGTATGTAGTTACATGAAGCACAAGGAGAGCTACAGGGATGTTGAAAGTAAAGAAAACTGAAAAATGGCTCAAGTAAATCTCAGCCAAGATCCTCTCCAGCAAACTATCAAAGCCCAAAATGAACATCTCCCTGAGTCCACTGACACTAGCTGTTCTCATATGAAAGTGAAGCAATTGAAAGACAAATTAAAGAAGAGAAATGCTAAAGGATTCAGCAGCAAAAACAAGGCTGAACTTATCAAACAACTGGAGGAAAATTTGTCAATGAGAAAATATGAAATATGTAGTATTCTGGGAGCATGAAATGACTTTAGTTACTCTAAGGGGGACTCCCTTACACATTCCAAATTATAGGAACAAACTCACATGAAAAGCTACGTGACCAGCAAAGGGTGCAGTGAAAACACATCAACTCGACAAAATTATAATTATAACTTAGTAAATAAAAGCAATTTCAAGCAAATTCACCTCTGTGGATTAGGCCCAGGGTAATTAGATAGGGGCCATTTATGATTTTGTGCATTCAACTCGCAAATGGGTTATATTCTTAGCAACTTTGCATTTAAGCGGAACTCCTTACAGTCCCCAATGCCATTACAGTGAATTTCATTTTCAGTAACATAACAGTATCTATGATTGAAGAGATACTGGTTGGCGACTGAAATGGATTGATAGTTTCTCAATAATCATTCTCTGATCTTCTTGAATTTGCCATTTATAATAGAATATGTTTTTGGTGATTGGCTAAAACCAATCTAAAATTTTAAATGGATATTTAGCCCTTACTCCATCCCCCTTGCAATCAATAACCCTATCCCAGTTTTCTGGTAAATTACATGGTTAAATCATCCCTATCCAAGAAAGTACACCCTTCTCCCTTCCCTCCTTTCCTTTACCATAAAACAAAAGACGAAAACAATCATCATCAAAGCCCAAAACAACATTTGACCTAGATTTACCTTTCAATTTGAACACGACTGATAATCTCAGGTTATCAACCTGTTATGTTAGCCTCTCTTTGTCAACAACTGGCTTGTCATATGTTCTGTAATGAAAATAATGAAAATGGAAACATTGTAAGAGGGGCCGTCTATAAACAGGTAATACTGGAAGCACTGCAGAGGCAGAAGAGAGCAGCAATTACTGAGTGTATTATTGGTGAAAATAAAATTAGTTCAGCATAAACCTTTCTATGTATAAGTTTATATGAGTGTATTTCTCTTGTTACTTCTGTATTTCAGCATGTCCAATTGTAGTGGTAATTTAAGTAGTTTGAAAAAATGATACAACAATAAATACCTAATAAGATTGGTAGTCAAGTTCTCTTCATCTTCCCAACTAGTATGAAACCTGCCATACCCTTTCCATTTCACCAAATATTGAACCTGAAGGTTTTAATTAAAAAACTCTAGCATGTAAGAAAATTAATGACATGCATCGTAGACCAAGGCAAATTTTGAACTCACCGTTCATGAAATATGAATGATAAGATGAACAAAATTTTGTTTATTTTAACAACTTTGTCCAGTTTTTACACGGGACAAATTCTGTTGGCAGTGTGTTTGAAGATTTGTCTGCTTCGGCCAAAATTTGTCAAGTTGCGATAAACCATCTGTAGTTGCTAATTCACAATTTATTTCTAAGCTCCATAACAATTGAGATCAGTTATATGATTTGAATATGTACAAGCTCTAGGGAATCTGCAATAAGGAGATTGCCTTATGGGAGGCACAGGCCTCCTGACACTAGAACAAGACATTCTTTTTTTTTTTTTTTTGAATAAAAATGTTGAACAAAAGGTAACAACATGGTAAAGGGTAAGTTCTTTGTCAATCAAAAATGTTTGATCAAAAATGTTCAGCAAAAGGTAACAACATGTTAAAGGGCAAGTTCATAGTCAATCATTTTTGTCTCATTGACTCTCAGGTCACTGAGCTTCTCCAGAATCTGATTCTTCTAGCAAACAAATCTTTGTGATTGGCCTTCTGTATGTTGACCCTTTGGCCCTCACTTCTGCACTCCTGACCAGTCTGTTGGGTCCAGAAAACACATTAATTACTAGTCCAACTGGCCACTGATGTTGTGGGACATTATCCTTGGCAATAAGGACTAACTCTCCAATGTACAAGTTCCTTTGTGCTTTCTGCCACTTCTGGCGTTCTTGTAGTGAGGGAATGTACTCCCTGAGCCAATGCTTCCAATAATGGTTAGCCAGAGTTGTGCCTGGCGCCGTTGCTTTTGAGTAAACTTGTTGTTGTCATCAACCATTTCTGGGGGGAGATTCACTGTGGGATGGATGTTTAAGATATGGCTGAGTGTGAGAGGCTGATGGTCATTAATGCTTGATGAATTTCTTGTCAGTGGTCTGGAGTTAGCAATTCATTCAGCTTCAGTAAACACTGTTCGCAGTACCTGTTGATTGATAAGGAAGGATGCCCCTGGACAGTGAAAGACCCACTTATAGCAACATTGTGATTACTCTCTACCCACTTTCTCATTGTCGATTTGATCAATAGCCTCTTTAATTTCTCGATCAGCCCCAACGAAGGTCGATCTGTTATTGGAGCAAAGCTCCCTCACATGTTCCCTTTGATGTAGAAATCTCATCAGCAGCAAGATGAAGTCATCTGTTTCCAGGGAGCTGGCAACCTCAAGATGCACAGGTCAAGAGTTCATACATGTTTCATTTCATTTCATTTCATTTCATTTCATTTCATTTTATTTTTATTTAAACACGGTCAATTCATCAGCCTAAAAAATACATATCACATACGCTAGAATATTTAAAACTCAAACTATAACACTAAAAGCTGTTTTCCGTGAGTGCCGTGCGTTAGACTTAAAGGATGTCATTGATCTTACATTTAAATACCCCCAGAGACTCTGTGTTCCTTATATAGCATGGTAGACTGTTCCATAATGTGGCGCCATTGTAGCTAAAGCTTTTTCAGTAATAATTTGTGCACGGTAATGGAACATTGAGCTTATTTTCAGAGTCCCTGAGGTCATAAGCAGAGTCACGCCATGTAAACTTTGAACACAGATACTCTGGAGCTAGCCCGTGCAGACATCCAAACATCATGGTGGCTTTGTGAATTTCCTGCTGACGTGCAAGATTTTTCCACCTTAGAAACTCGAGTAGCTCAGTGGCATCAGCATCATAGTCAGAGAATGTCAACACACGGGCTGCTCTATTCTGCAATTTCTGCAGTTTGTCTCGTAGCGTTTTCCCACAGTTACCCCAAACAATGTCACAGTAATCTAAGTGAGGTACATACAAAGATGGCAGCCCATCGCTTCTCTGCAACCTTTCCTCTTCCTCTCTTCATGTAAAAAGGGCCAAAATAGTCAACTCTGGAATATGTAAATGGTGGCACATAGGGCGTCAGCCTAATCTTTGGTAATTCTGCCATTTCTTGAGTCATCTTAGGTGACATTTGTTTCTTGTAGGATATGCACCTCCCAGTAATCTCCCTCACCCCTGCTCTTCCTCTAACCACCCAGAATTGTTCTTGGAGAAGGGACAGTACTTGCTCGACTCCACAATGTCCAGTTTTCTCGTTCACATAGTGTATCAGGATCGTGGTGACTCATAGGGTTCATAGCATGAAGAGATATGGGCACTCTCGAAATTCTATCACCAACTCTCTATACACTGTTATTCATGATTGCTGGTGTAAGCTTTACAATATGGCTTGATGCCTTCACTTGTCTCCCAGCCTTGAGATCCTTTATCTCTTGCAGAAAGATGCTCTTCAGTACCAACTTGACAACTTCTCTTTTAGATTTCTCAATTTCTTCGTGACTGATACGCTGTGTGATCTCACATGTGTTTGTATCTTCTTTCGTCTTTCTTGAGGACCACTTGAGAATTGGGTCAGAAGGCAGTTCAAAGAAGCTGTTGGGTTAACTGTGGTCACGTACACTTCCTTCTTTATCTCAAGCTTCTCTACTGTGATGTTCTCAAACTTGGGTTCTGGGTAGTGGTCCTTACTACTATACAAGAAGGGTGGGCCTCTCAGCCATTGCTCATTCTTAAGAAATTCATTCATTCCAAGGCCTCAACTAACATCATCAGTGGGGTTCAGTTTGCCAGGACAATGTCTCCACAGTTGTGGTGACGGGAGGTCCCTAATCTCTCCAACTCGATTGGCCATATAAATTTGAAATCGCCTGTTCTCGTTGTGGATATAGTTTAAAATGATCATGGCATTGCTTCAAAAAACCACTTGTTCAAACTCAAAGTTCAGTTCTTTTCTCATTGCAAGATCAACATGTGCTGCTGAAAGAGCTCCCTGTAGCTCAAGATGGGGATTACTGACAGTTTTCAATAACAAATGCACATTCTACAGTTTCATCAAAGTAGGTAATTCAGAGGTATGTGGCAGTTCCATGTCCAACTTTGGAGGCGTCGCAGAAGTGATGAAGCTGTAGAGTAGGTCCTTCATGGTCTGACCAACTAAAGTAACATTTGGGGATGTTCACACTTGCCAGAAGAGGTAGGTCATTTTTCCACTGCAACCATCTTTGGAGGAGTTCTCCTTTGAGAGTTTGATCCCTTGCCCTTTTCAACCTCCACAGTTCTTACATGATTTGCTTCTCAGGGAACATTATGGGTGCAGGAAGGTTCAGTGGTTTGAAGACTGAGCAGATTGTTGATAGAACTCCTTTTGTGGTGTTATCTTTTTTAAACTCTAACACCTTAATACCAAACATGTCTGACTCTGTGTCACTATACCCCCAGTGCTCTATCGACGGGTAATTCATCAAGATTGACATCCAGGGATGGATCAGCTCTCTTTCCCAGAGGTATAGAAACCCAAACCTTGTGGTTGTTGCTAACAGATTTTGTCAAGTTAAATCCACCCTTAGCACAAATGTTAATCAAATTTTCCATTGGTGCAATTGCAATTTTCAGTGTTGGTACTGATTTCAAGAGGTCATCAACATAGAAGTTGTCTGAGTGTCTATCATAAATGGATCAAAACTTCCTTCATTGTCATCAGCAGTTCCCAACAAGGCAGAGTTAGCTGAGCAGGGTGAGTTGGCCTCTCTGAATATGTGTACTGTCATTGCATACTCTTGTGGTGTTTCGTCTATGCCTTCTCTTCACCACAGAAATCTTAGTGAATCTTGGTCTTCTGGGTGCACTTTCACCTGGTGGAACATGCTCTCAATGTCCCCAACCAGAGCCACATTCTCCTCACGAAATCTCCACAAGAATGCAACTAAATTGTTTGTGTAATCAGGCCCTGTAAAAGATTCTTATTCAAGGACGTTCCTCGATGTTCTGCGGCAGCATGAAAGACTATCCTTACTTTGTTGGGCCTGCTGCTGCCAGTGGCTGCAAAGTGAGGTAGATACCATGTTCTGGAACCAGATTTGGAAGCTTCTTCATCTGACAGCTTACAGGCATATCCCTTTGTTATGTAATCTTCCATCGTAGCACGGTATTTGTCTTCAAGACTAGGATCTCGATGAAATTTTTGTCTCAAACTCTGCAATCTTATCCCTGCATCCCTTCAGTTATTTGGTAGCTTAACATTGTCTCTTCTCAATAACAGCCCCATCTCATAGTGATCTTCGTCGTTAAGTGTTGTTGTCTTATTTAGGATGTCCACTGCTTGCATATCCTCTCTGAACAAGTTATATTCTCAGCATTTACAATCTGTGTCCCCTTTTGTTTCAGCCTTCAAAGTGCTCTTTGTTCCAAACCCTTCACTTTCCAAAACTTGTCTACTTGGTCATGTAAATTCTTTTCACATGTGACAAAGTTTACTGAAATATTCCCATGTTTCTGTGAGCCACGAATCGTTCCAGTTATGACCCAACCCAGTGGGCCACGCAGAGCTTGCAATTGGTTATCAGGCTTATTTGACTTTCGAACTTCAAAAACTTCATGTATGTCACTAACATCCTCTCTAATCAGTATTGTCACCTTTCTCAGCTTCACGTCAGGTATTTCAATGTCTGCTGGGTGTGGGTGTGACTTCCTATCAATATCTTCTGAAAGGCAGTTCTCTGTGATATTGAACTTCTCTGATACAAGACCTTCTTCCATGGTGGTGAGTTCCTCTCCACTAGCGGATTGCAACTCAAATTCTACAACTTCAAACTCTTCATCTTCTTGTTGCAAGAGGGTGCTAACAGATACCACTTCCTTCTGACCTTTCAGGCCTAGTTCATTAGCAAGTGGTGATGGACTTGCCATTGGACGATGAGATCTTCACTGGTATCACATGGAGAAGTATGGTCTTCTTCTTGGTCAGCTCTATTGCGGTTGCATGCTGCACTGTACTCCTAAGTTCAGTAGTGCTCGGATGCTCACCATTCCTTGGGTTTGACTGATTCTCTGCAGGTTGTTTTTCCCGTTCACAGGTTTGGTTGCCTCGGTCAGTGTCTCCAATGCCTCTTAGGGGGTTGTGAAGAAACCTGTGGTGTCATTTATCACTTCTACATGGACAGAACTTTTGGGATTCACACCTGTCTCTATGATGTCGTGGTCTCCTACAAACGTGACACAACCTATGGCATTTCACAATATCCCAGTGGGTTTGCAGATCTTTGTTTTAGAACTGGAGGCACGAGGCCAGTTCATATGAACCTGAGCAACAGAAACAGCTCTGTACTCCGAGAAAGGATGAGTCAGCCAGTCTTGTATTCTACACATCCTACCGAGTCAGCCAGTCTTGTAGTCTACACATCCTACTACAATCTACAATGTACTGCAAGTATTCACTAAAACTGAAGGGTTATGCAAAAATAGGCTGTGCTACGCCAGGTACGAAAAACCACTAAAAAACCACTCTTTCTAGTAGCCAAAAAATATGTGGGAACGTATTCCTCATCTAATGCAGCAGCACTATACTCTTAGGAAAGGGTAACTAAAATAAACCTAGTTACACTACTAATCACACAGAAAATTCAATGAAAGCAGTGATATTTTACAGAGTTCTAAAACAAAATTACCTTAAATAAAAAAAAGGAGAAAGTGGTCAAACCTAAGACTGACCGACTTAGAAGGACTTAATTTTCCCCACAAAATGCTTAAATGAGCTGAAACTATTGTGTTGCCATGTGAACCTCTTCAATATGCTGTTCGAATATAAATTTTTGACTAATTCGTTTCCATGTCACTCAAACATCAGAAATTACATATTATTATTACATACACTCAGGCAAGATATTTAATGTGAAAGTTTATTTAGGATGAGTCAGCCAGTCTTGTAGTCTGCACATCCTACTAAAGCCTAAGAAAGGCAAATATGAAGGTAAACACCACAGAATTAAAAACCTAACTTTTTTTAACACCGACAAACATGAACTCAAACTATGATCAACATAGCCGTTTTTGGTGGAAACAGATTTAGAATGCCCTTGCCTCTGAAAGCCTCTGTCGGGAACATCAGCATTAGCTGCAGCTGAAGCACCACCAGCTCTAAAGGAATGTGTGCTGAATAGAGAAATATCTGGAACAATATCCTTAAAACTAGATTTGAACTAATCTCTTATACATGAGTAACTTAGCGGCTTGTTAACAGATACTAGTCTGTGATCTAATTTAAACTTGTACAAGGCCCTAAAGATATAATGGTCTGCCTCAACTGGAAACTTTTCAACCTCTCTTAAATAACACCTAAATTGTTTACAGGGCAGGTAGCAATATTGGAGCTCTCAGAAATTACAACTTGGCTCTCTTTCCTAAGTTGATCTGTCTTACTTCTATCAACGTTGATAGTGAGGTAGTAAAAACTAATCTC